TCTCGTCGCTTGATAAACATATAGTTGAGCCACGGTAGTCACTTGGGATATTTAAACATTTTCTTCATTGACTTTCTGGGCCGTCAAGAGGCAGTCCCTTAGGAGCCTATGTGGTAGTTATACAGCTCTCAAATTTAATCAAAAATATCTTTATTTGTGTTCCGAAGACGAACGAAGGTCTTACGGGGTTGGTACAGCATGGGGGTGAGTAATTAATGACTTAATTTTCATTTTTGGGTGAACTAACCCTTTAAATTAGCATTATAGGGGTACTTTAAAAGTATTTAAAGGACATGGGCTAACCAACGCATTATCATCCCAAGGCGTCGTATACGACACTTTTGCAAAAGCGTAAACATCCAACGCACATGGCGCCGTTTAGCATAAAATGAGACGCTTTGGTTATGGTAGGTTTAGGTATGGGGTAGGTTTAGGGTTAGTCAGACCACTAGGAGGCGCCTTCTGCTCCATATATATCTGCGTTATATTTGACGCTAAAGGGTGGCATATGTGCGTTGGATGTTTACGCTTTTGCAAAAGCGTCGTATATGACGCCTTGGGATGAGAAAGGGCTCGGCTAACATAAAGGGAAAGTGACATGTGAAGGCTAAGTATGGTAACCCAATGAATTTTCCTCTGTTTTTAACCTATCCAAGTTAGTGCACACACATAATAGTGCACTCTAAACAATGCTGGGTTGTGTTAACCCAGAATTGGGTAAAATATGGACAAACCCAAATGTTGGGTTAAAAATGTAATTTAAAATTTTGACCCAACTTCAACTTTCACTTTCAACTCTACATTTTTTAATTACATGTTTAACCCAAATTTGGGTTCGTCCATATTTGACCCAAATTTGAGTGGAAATAAATCAGCATTTTTTAGAGTGTGAGAACACACACAGCGAACCATGGACACACACACACACACCCCCGGATCAGTGGGCAAACATTTTTGCTGCTGCACCCGGGGAGTGACCAGGGAAGCCTTGCTCAAGGGAACCTCAGCCATTACCTGTCAGTATTGAGAATCAAACCCACAACCTTCAGGTTACCAGTCTGACTGTCTAAACATTAGGCCATGGCGGCCCTAATAAACTAAAAATACACAGCTGTATTTTTATCAACAAAAGTTAACAAAGATATGATGTGCTGTATCATATTATTAGACATTGTCAAAACGTTACTTAATAGGACATTTTTGTAGTACTGTACATAACTGAAACATAGTTAGCAGGTTTGAGAGAATAAAAAAATAACCCCATTTTAATTTTACCCTCCATAAATACTCTTGAAAATACAGTAAAATCACTTAGATTCTATCCATCCATTCATTATCTGTTCAGTCCGCCCTGAGAAAGCATTCTGCTGACTGCGTGTGCTCAGCAAAATGGCTTTAACAGCAACAGTGGAGTGAATGATGTTCTAGATCAGGATTTGCCTCAAGACCCAGACCGTACATTTAAAATCATGGTGACTTAACACAATTCTAAAATTGCAACAAAATGCCCTTGACATATATTATTATTATTATTATATTTATTAAGCCAATAATTAAACAATTGATTATGCAAGATAATATGGCTAGTTGGATTTTATCATTTGCATTGAGTTTTACTGTACTCAGGGCTTACTGTAGGTTCCATAGGAACAAGAAACTCTTGAGTAGATTTGGAAACATTGAAAAAAGCAGTGGGTTTCACTACCATGCTATGAGAATACAGTAAAAAGACTCAAAGGACTACAAATAGAAGCTGACAGCACAGATGCCTTTGAAAAACATCAACAGTTGCTTCTCTTCTTCCAAATACCTCAAACTTCTTTAAATAAAACTGAACATGACACTCTTTCTTACTATGACACCTTAAAGGTATAGTTCACCCAAAATGGTAAATTCTGTCATCATTTATTCACCCTCAAGTCTTCAGCTAAACACAAAAGAAGATATTTTGAAGAATATGGGTAACCTAATTGTTGATGGACCCCACTGACTAATATAGTATGGAAAACCAATATTCTTATATTCTTCAAAATATCTTCTTTTGTGTTCAGCTGAACAACTTGAGGGTGATTAAATGATGAAATCATTTTTGGGTGAACAATCATTTTAAAACTCTCAATAATCACTTTATGTCTAAAAAAATGATTGAACAATTCAACATATCACTTTTTTTTAGTAAACAGTTTGACACATTCAGTTAGTTTTGGTTTAAAGATAACGATAACTATATTGGCCTCCACACCAGAGGATATCGTTCTGTTTATTGTGCCAGTTTGTGTCTCCTGTCACTTAAATCCTCAAGCATGCATATGCTGGGAAAAAAATGGTATTGACAGTGATTCTAACGATATTGTTTCTCTGCCCTGTTGTCTTTATAATTGTGGGGTGAAACTGCTTTTCCTTTATATTTAGAAAGATTTTTAGAACTGTACCCATATTCTTGTCGTTATAGTTATTGTGGTGTGAACATCCCTTAATTCATATTTATATTTTCCAAACTGTTTAGAGTTCTGTAATGTTTTGTTTACCTATGTGTGTTCATCAAACATTTTGTTGAGGTAAAGCAGGGAGATTAAGCAAATGCAATTAATTCCAAATAAGTCAGTGCAGTTATAGCACCATTTACGCTCCAGGATGTACAAGGCCAGATGGCAAAGCAGAGTCCATTTACACTGACCAATTGGGGCCTTTATGCTGAATGACTTTGGTACTGATGACATATAATGTTATGACAGCTGTTAGTTTAAAGCAGATACTTACGTGATTATACTACATTATAATATTGTCAACAAGCAAGCTTGCATGCTACCTTTTAAGTCAGCACACACCACAACCTTAATTCCAAATGTCACCACATTAAACTCTAAGAAGGAGATTTAAGGGCATCCTAGTGCTAAAGGCGTGATGTGGAAAACTGATAATGAAGTCTTACACCGATGGTAAACATTGCTGCAACAGTCTATATCAATAGACGATATTGAAATGAATGTAAAACATATGCCTGCATATATAACTATGGCACATAGAGTCATCTGATATCATCTAACCTGTTACATCCTTAAAAAGTAAGTCATTTATTAATGCTTAAGCAACTATATAATCATTTAGCAAGTCATCATACTGGGTCTATTGAATGCAAGCAAGCATTTTGATATCTATTTCCTCCTTTCTCTCTTTTCCATTATCAATATACTTATCCTGTATGGTTTAATTTCTTGAACTTTTAAAACAAACCAATACAATTTGGAATGAATTTCAGTGATACTGAGTTGAACAAACGGTACTGTAACATCGAAATATTGATTGGCCAAGTGGATTTCTGAAAGGTCTTGATTCTTAGACATAAAACTAATAAACTAACTGGACAAATTTTGTCTGAAAAGTTACTCAATATTAACTTTGTTAGTGTTTTTGTATAAAAGCATATAGGCCTATATTTAAGCACAACAACAATAGCTAAATTTCTTGCGTGCAACAACACAGAAGTGATCTTAAGATGTCTTAAAACAAATTAAAGAAAGAGGAAACACGCAGCACAGATGTCTCAGCAACTGTGAATGAGTGAAGCTGTAGAAACTGTTTCTGGGACAGGATGAGCACTAATCCTATCCAGACCATGCCTTGAGAAACAAGCACTCACTGCAAAAAAAAAAAAAAAAGTACAGAAAGGACTGGGACAGATGAGAGAAATGAGAAACTAAAGAGCGGGAAGTGAGCAAAGATCTTTGAGGAATGATTGGGAATTATTCTGTATCCAATAATTCCCTTAAAACTTTGAAAATGTTTTTCATAATTTTATCCAGAATGTTTAAGGTCTTGGATGTAAAGTAGCTTCTGCAGATAAGTACAAATACAGATTAAATACAGATTTTGTCAGAGGGACCGTGTCCATTCATAAGATGGCATGTACCAATGCCATGGAAGAAATCACACATTCTCATGTCTAAATTTGGCACAGTTGCACCAACTAAGTCACTTTCTGCAGATCATTTGGTCCAATGCAATTTTTTTTTTCAGCCTCTGCTCTGCCCACCATAATTTATTATTATTATTATTTTTTAATCCATGGAACATATCAGAATATAGGGGTACCATCTTAAAGGGATACTCCATTTTTTTTGGATATAGGCTCATTTTACCTCCCCCCATAGTTAAACAGTTTTGCCGTTTTCTAATGTCAAATCATAGTCATACTATGGATGTAAATGAGACCACTGTCTGGTTACTGATATTCTTCTAAATATCAGAAGGGGATTCCATGTGTAGAAAGCACTAGGAAAAGAATGGGCTCTCGAAAGTTACAATAAATATAGATGTCCCTTGATATTCTTCTAAATATCAGTAAATCGTCTGAATGGATTTGAAAACGGTAAAACTCAACTGTTTAACTCTGGGGGAGTTGTAAAATGAGGCTATTTCCAAAAAAAAATTGAGTATCCCTTTAAGAAAAAGTACTGTAGAGCCTTTCCTTTAGTCATGAGAGTTATCTTTTCATCGGCACCAAGCGTCACACCTCTCACAAAAAGGTGTATTATGCATATTTTCTATAAAATGAAGAAAAATGCATGGTTAATAGTTTTATTTAAATTAATTTAGTATAATTCCAACCAATTAGGTCAAAATCCCGACACTGTCGTGCGATTTTAATTGTAGCTATACTGTAGCCTATAATTACTGTTTTAATCTGTATTTAGGTAGGCCTTTACTGTAAGAAGGTCTTGAATTGTTCCCTAAGACATTCAATTTAATTTTATGAAAGATAAAAATAACCTGGGATTTGTGTCTCTTAAAAAAATGGAATGGAACACAGTCAACCTAAAGTAGGCTAGACTAGTCCTTAATGTAGGCTAGAATACACGCATTAAAGATCGGAATGCTTCTGAATTCTTTTTCAGGTTACAAACCCCTAACACTGGTCATAAATACACTATAATACTATTTACAATGACCCAAACATTTTGATTCGGCTCTTCCAACTTTTAGACTTTAAATCAACATACCTTGAGTGACAGCCGTGATTATCGTTGGCAATAATATCTGCAGAATCCGCCATAGGTGAGAATAGACGCTCATTTTGGCCACGGGGGTTATCTATGATATGTCCCATTAACGTTTCTGACATTTATGAATCCTAAACAGGAGAGACCGAGGAGCGCGTTTGGTCCGTCGGCATGCTGTTTAACCTGTGGAATCTTCACCTGTGCACGCGCTCCACAGATCCACTATGAAGAGCTGCACACTTCTGAATAATGCATTCCAACTGGATAAGCGGCACGTGAGGCAAAACTTGACTGGGGATCTTTAGCGAGATGCATTACTTTGGAACCCATTTTGTCGATCTTTTCTAAATGAATGCACAGCTTTCCGTTATAATCCAATGAATGAAAGGTAACATTTCAGTTTTTCTCTTGTCTGATAGCCTAACTCCTTCTATTGTGGTCTCGTCCGTGTAGTAGAAAGTGTCCTGACAGCTCAAAACACCACAATCATCTGTCTGCACGTCACCCATCGCGAGCTTTAGATCCTCATCAGTCCAGAACACGAGCGACGGGATTTACCGCTAACAGTGAATTAAACACAGGCAGGCATTGAGACTGAGTTATGCGATTAACCGATCAACGCAGTGTGTAGGCTATACGACCACAAAGAGATTAAAGATGCTTGTGTTATACATCATATTGCATGATACAATCTGTAGTGTAACAGTGTGAAATTGTACACCTAAAAAACGCCAAAAGTTTCTCTTAAATCACCAAAACTGTCATTAAGTCAGCCTGTGCTTTGGTCGTGGAATGACAGTGACATCTCGTGGTCATGTTTGATACTACATTATGTTCAAGTAAAAAAAAAAAAGAATATATATATATATATATATATATATATATATATATATATATATATATATATATATATATATATATATATATAATATATATATATATATGAAGAGTTCAGATGCAAAAGCCTCTAAATTCCATTTGAAATTTTCTTCTTTAATGATGATTTTTATCAAAGTTGCATATTTAAGTTCAGTAATTTCACTTATTAACAATTAATAGGTAATTATCATTGCCATTTAAGTGAAATCACTGAACTTAAATATACAAGCTTGACAAAAATGATCATTCTAGAAGAAAATTTCAAATGGCACTTAGAGGCTTTTGCATCTGAACTCTTCATATATATATATATATATATATATATATATATATATATAATCAGAACCGCATAAGGTTTACAAATACTTCTTTTACACCCCCTCGCTGACTATATATATATATATATATATATATATATATATATATATATATATGCTGGCCAATACATACATTCATATGCATGGATATTATAAGCTTTGATCTTTTGTTTCCCCAAAACAACCATTAGATTTATGAAATAATTTGCCAAAGCTACAATGTATCAACCAACACCACATGCAACAGCTATCTGGACAGACCTTTTCTGTGTGATTGTTTATAATTTTGTCATCTTTACATAACTTATACCTTCAGTATATCTTATTTTTTATTGCCAGTTTATGAGATATTCATTGATAATGTTAGACAAGGTTAGTGATGCACGATATATCGGCCGCCGATATAATATCGGCCGATTTGGTCAATTTTTTACACATCGGTATCGTTCCGATGTCAAAATAGGGCCGATGTGAACAGGCCGATGATCATTCCCTGTGTATTTGACTTGCGTGGGGGCGGGGATGTTTGTTTTTGCACGCGTATTAAAAGCGCAAGTGCGTTTAAACATCAAGCGCACGAAGACTGGAACTGGTGAGCTGTTTTCTGCCAGCCTTCCTAATGCGTATTTTTGTCCCGCCAAAGCCATATTTGACCGGTAAGTGATGTAGATGAGTGACTGGTGCGCTTGTTTAACTGAGGGAACGAGAGTCAATTAAAGCACCGGTCACGCGCGCCGCCTTCAAAATGTCTTTCGCTTGTTTAACTCAGGGAACAAGAGAGAGTGAAAGCACCGGTCACGCGCGCCGTCTTCAAAATGTCTTTCGCTTGTTTAACGGAGGGAACAAGAGTAAAAGCACCGGTCACGCGCGCCGTCTTCAAAATGTCTTTCGCTTGTTTAACGGAGGGAACAAGAGTGAAAGCACCGGTCACGCGCGCCGTCTTCAAAATGTCTTTCGCTTGTTTAACGGAGGGAACAAGAGTGAAAGCACCGGTCACGCGCGCCGTCTTCAAAATGTCTTGCTCTCTCTCCCCCTCACGCATGTTTATGAATTGAGTTGACTGAATATCTTTGAGAATACACGATGGTAAAAGGTCGGAAGACCGAAGTTTTTTTCTTCTGAACTACTGGTTGTGAATTGTGAAACCACACTTTCAATAAACCAAAAAAAAAAATCTATCGTGTTGATGAAATGTTTTCTGTGTCGACTGTCGAGACCATAGACTGTAAAAATAAGTCGAGACAAATCTCGTGCGATGTTCTAAACTGCCTGGATAATCACACAACGTGTGCCGTGGTTCCGTTAATGACACGTCCGATTCGCGAACTAATGACTCCTTTGAACCGATTCACTTTAATGAATGGTTAAAACAACTGATCTGTCCAACACTGAGCTCAAGATACATAAATCGGAAACACTTTACAATAAGGTTCCATTTATTAAAGTGTACATTAAATGAACACTTTAATAAATGGAACCTTCTTGTAAAGTGTAAGGTTAATAGATTAATAGAATGTTAACAAATTTTGTTAACATTCTATTAATATTAGTTTCTGTGGATATACTCCATGACAAAACTACCCCAGTCATTCTAGAATGATTCATTCTTTCCAAATAGAGCAATTTAAGTAATCTGGTGAAATTGTTTTTATATCACAATCAGTGGAGATTTCTTTAAGACTGCAAGGAAAGCTCAGCTTCCCCTATAATGTCAAACAAATAATGATCAAATGTGTACTATTGTGTTAACATTTTAATGAGTAAAAATGCGTTAGAACACGGTAATCTCGAAGACGAGTTCGTTCAGAATAAGCAACAAATAGGTCGGCTGACTTGATCTCCTTCTCATGCATACCTGTAGCGCGTCACAGTGCATGCATTTTCCTATGGCATTTCCCCGTTGAAGCTCGGCGTCCATTGACTTCAATGGGGCTGCTTTGAACAGTTTTTTTCAGTGCTGTTAAACTAGACGGTCATTGGATAAATGCTGCGATTATGTCCCGCCCACGGACGCCGGGCGTCTCTGGGGTGAATAGGGAAGTGGGCTGGCCTGGCGTCCGGGCGTCCGCGTGATGATTGGAGGATTGCATCTCCTTTTGATTGACAGCGATTTCACCCAATAAAAAAATCGCTGACGCGGAAGCTAGTTTAAAGACTTCGAGCTCAGTCTCGTCGCGAATTTTGTGTGTATTTTACTCGAAAGACGAACTACTGTAACATATTTCTTAGTATTTGCAATTTTCATCAGATATTTCACAGTTCAACCTAATTCCCACATTTCTTCCGTCGATGTCAGGTGTCTTGTTACATGTGCGGGCGTGGTGTTTGAATCATGGCACATCTGTCTAGTTTGGTTTCACTTTTGAATTTGTGTTAGGATTCGGACATGCATTCTCCGCGTGTTTGTTTTCGGTTGTGAGTGCACAGAATGACCTTATGGTCGTACTCATGCGTAACGTTAGCGTTCTGTCTTGTCGTGTTCGCTCTGTTCAGTGTGTTGTGTATTGTGTGGCACATGGTTTATGTTTACATCGGCCGCGTGCTTTCATGTCATGTTTTGTCTTGTGCTGTGTAGCACACAGCTTGTGTTTTAAACTAGCTGTGTGCTTTCATGTTGTCATGTTCTGTGTGAACACGTGTCTTATGAGTGTTCTCATCGTTCTTCAGGTCTCATTTTGTGTGAGCACAATTTTTAATTTGTTTTATTGGTCATGTGTTTTTGTCATGTTTGGTATGAGCACATGTCTTGTGCTTGTCATGTGTTTGTTGTGCCATATGTGCTTTCCTGTCATTGTGTCGACTCCCATCTCGTTTCCTGATTATTAGTTATTTTGCCCCACCTGTCCTCCCTCGTTACCTGCCTTTTTTGCTCCCAATTTATTCCCCTTGTTTTTTTGTTTTTTTTTTATCAATAAAATAAAGCCCATCAACTCTGCATCGAGTCCTTGCTCTTTTCACCATCCCCACACCTGACAGTCGAGTTTAAAAAAAAGAAGAAGAAAAAAGAGCTTCCCCTCTTTGAAAGACCAGCAGCCGCCACTGATCACAATATATATCGCAGAAAAATAAAATATCACAATGTCATTTTTTACCAATATCGTGCAGCCCTAATCCTCGCTATGTGTTTTCTATACAGGGATATCGACATCGGTAAATATCGGTATCGGCCATAACAGCAATGTTAATATCGGTTATCGGTATCGGCCACAAATTTTCACATCGGTGCATCACTAGACAAGGTGATATAATGTGGTGAGTTTTAGGGAAAAAAAAGGGTTGAGAAATGAGCTTTAAGTGGCTCTTGTCCACTCATCAAAAGTGAATGTGAATGGAAGCAATAAAACTTCAAAATTCACTTAACACTGTCTATACACAATATTTCTATTTTTTAGAAGCAATTATGTGAAGAACAGAGAGTTATTTCATGCAAATCTTCCTCCTGCTGCAGTTCTTAAATCTGATTTATGTTATGTTATTCTCAAATAACAGGTTTGACGGCAATGATGCTCAATCATTTGCAATCATTTGTGACCTGTTTGAGTTAAAGATGTTTATTCTTTGCAAAGGAGAAGATTAATGATGAAAAACGCTATAATATTATTTGTTAAAAAAGCGATAATATGGCTTTAGACTCTTAACACAACAATATAACACATGAGTTTTGTGGACCCATATAATACTTCTTAGACATTTTTGGAGCACAACAGAATAAATCTATGCACTTTCATAAGGCCTGATTAACGAAACATTTATTTGAATGTGTTGCATTGAATTGAATAAGACAGTTTATGGAAAGATTGGATACATAAATTATTTACACAGATTTTCTTTCTTCTTGAGATTAATGCAATAAAAGTGAATGGTGATTGGGCTTATTGCCTTATGGAGATCTGCTTTTGGGTCATTCAGACACAAAGTGAAGAAATAATTTTTATTTTCACAACTATCACTTTATGTAA